GTGGTCAAAGTTTAAGCGGTTTACAGCTCTTAGAGGCTCAAAAACAATCAGTTTCCATAGGTTTCTTTTTCGCTCCTTTTTTGGCATTCCAGGGGCCGCTCAGCCAAAACGAAGCCCACTTTTATGGTTCATGGGCAAGGCCCTACAAAGTGCAATAAACCGTTTCGAAAAAGCGGGGCACGCCCTGAACGACCTTCCTGGTTAAGCTCTACTTATCGCATACAGGCCTCGCCCGCTACGGTCAAACTCCGCCCACATTCAAAGAACTTGTGATTTTTTGTAAAGAACTGCGACACTTTCAATCTGATAATGGTGAATTCAATGGATAATGACTCTGACATGAACCTATTCCATAAATGGAATTGGCTTGGCAATGAAGACGGATATAGCGACCAAAGGGAAGTCGGCCGGATCTTTCTTCTGAAGGGGCATTAATTTTAGAAGTGAGGTAGACGGACAATGTGGAAGGACTCACCGCCAAATCGAGTTTCGGTTTCTTCCCACAGATCGTACATCCTTTGGTGGATGACCAGCGATTGGAAACGTAATTAGCCAGGTAGTTCAGATGTCTTTTGCTGGGTCCATTTCCGTGAAGGATCGCTGGATGGAGTGTTGTAGGCAGCATTGTAGGCCTGCATTTCACTACTTCATCACGAAGACTAAATGCTGAGGGTCTGAGCTTTAGTTTCGGCGATTACTGCTGTTTTCATAGTGCTTTCTAATTATTGCCATGAAACCCTGACGGGAGGCAGAAACCGGGCTGACGGTGGGCCGGTTTCAGGAGGGGTGGGAGCAGCTCAGTCGTGAATGCATTTCTGCCGATAGCGGCCGATTCAGATAAAAAACGACCAGTGGTAGAGGGCTCATTCCACCTCTCCATGACACCGCTCATGAAGACATCAATTGTATACTAGCAAGCGAGGAGCAAAAAAACAAAAAAGAAAGCTAGGAGACCTGCTAGAGTAATGAAGACTAGCGAAGCAAGCTAGCAAAAAATCCTGAAAAATCCTACTGAATCTTGACGCGATTCAGCCTAAGTGGCACCGAGGGTATCAGCACTTTGCTGCACAGTGCTTTTGCTAGTTCTTTTTGAATCACGCGTCTCACTTTAGGTCTGTAGACTCTTATCAAGTATGAATGAAGCCCCTGTTACTTCATAACTTTGCAGGAATTCACAGGTCCCCCTAGGAGGGTTTGAAAGCGATCGGTGGAAATCGGCAAAATGCCCCCATTAGGCCGAAGTGCGCCTTGATTTTTACCGTGGTCGCCGAACTAAAGCACTTTGCCCTATATTATGATAATAATGAAAAAATAAGTTGTAACACACAAGAGCAGTTCCGTCGTCATCAAATTGCAGCTCCACGTCGTCGATTACACCGTTCAAGTTTTGGAAAATACGTGATACCGAATCGAGCCCGATTTTGAGATCTTTCTGAAAAATCGACACTTTGCAGCTGTTTTCTTGTCCTCGAAATCTAATATTTTGCATTCTGTTTTGCGAGGGGGTGCACACTGAACTTCACGCTCTTCACATTCTTTTCTATGGATGTGAACCAAGACGCTGGGAATTGATAGGGTGGACACTTAGAGGCTAATCGTATGGTCTGACTCACAGGCGTTGTCAGGCGTTCCATGGGGCTTTCTCATTGCCGTGCCCTTCCTACCAAACGGTGTTGACAGGGCACGACACTTATAAATGCACCATCAGGCCTGACACCGCCTACTTAACTGGCGTGGACCGCGCCTTAAGAGGCAGTAGAATACAGTAATCAGTTGTGGCAGAACAGTAATTTTCGTAAGGGAATTATTCATGGTAACGTTGGTGGTTCAGTGGCAAGCAGAGTTACTGCTGTTCCTAATGGTTATCTCATCGGATCCTACGAGCTCTCATGCTGGGCCTCAAAGAATACCCCCTGGCAGGAATATGTTGGATGGGTCAAAACGGGCGGAGTTAGCGAATTGTGGATTCGGTTCGCTACCCTATGGAGGTGCGATACCATATAGCGCCATCGTACCTCAACTTCTTCCGGTTCTGTTTATTCAAAACTTGACTCATTCGGAAGATGAGAGCACGAAACTGGACATCGCCAGGTTTTTCGAACAATTTTTCCGTTTTTTAAAAGCATTTGCAGAGCCAATCGGAAGCCGTATGCATGGCGCATATCAAAGGCTAATAATAGCCATTTACATTCAATGTCCTGCACCGGTCACAATACAGCATTGTTCGCTGTGCATGCTGGAGCGCGTCAAATAGCTGGGCGCGGCGGGGCCCGAATCCGTTCTGCGTCAAATGTGGTAGCTCGGCAGCTTCAACAACTGATGGAGGACGGATAAGCACCTCCTTCCTGACACGCCTCAGCATGCAGCAAACAAAACTATGAGGATGTAGAGGAATGGCCCATCCCTATACAGAGCAGACCAATATTGAGCACTTTAGCTTTCCTCTGTTGTATCACTCCTGAATCAAAGGAAGCCGACCTACTCCACCAGAGATCCCAAATATCGCTCACCCTTAGCTTTTCATCAAGGTAAACCATCGTGTAGTATAGTTGGTCATCATCGCCATCAGCAACATCTTTCAAGGTGATCATTTGATAAATCTCTTTTGCATAGCCCATGAACAGACCGGAATTGAGATACCTGAACAAACCCATATGAATTCGTTCTCTGAAAAGACACAGACCTCCTCACCTCTTCCCAAATTCCACCACCGGATATTCAATCGCCAATGATTGATCTGGCCAACAGAAGGGTTCAGCGCCAAATAACACCCTGTAGTCTTCGAAGTAAGTGAGGAACCGATCGAGGATAGTGTCCATACTAGCAGTGAACACCACGTCGTAGCTGAATTAGCTCTGTTGCTATTTTTGGAGGATTTCACAAAAGGAACAGCAACTTACGCATCGACGAATAAAATTATGGTGTCCTTATCGTCCGCGTACTTTTTCAAAGCATCTCGGAGAATACGAATTTTCTGACCGCCACCCTGAATTTTTCAATATTTCGCAATTTATCAGGAATTTCAGTAAATTACAGATAACAATGAAGGAAATGCAGTGAAATGGGGCGAAGGTATTTATTCGAAGGCCCATCTCGCGTAGATCTTAGATACGAAACAGGGTGCAGCATTGTTGGGAGAGTCCATGAGGCGGTCTCACCAGGTAGCTTGGGAGAGGGTCGTATTCGGCCGACTGGGGTCGCATCTCACCTCGATAGAAACCTTCCTGATCGCGAAGAATTTTCCCCAGATGTTGACTTTTCCCCAATGTTTCCTTTTTCATATGTACTAGAGATGCAGTCTCGCCGGCAGCAAATGCTGGGGGCAAATGTTTGGGGAGGGCGGTGGAAAGTTGGCTGGCTTTAGCGAGGAGCCAGCCAACCTTCCACCGATTGTGGTGGACTGCCAGTTCTCTACAATTGGTGGAGAACAGACTGGAGCCGCGCCCCAAACACGACCCCCTTACCCCACCCCAGGAATGTCTCAGCGTTAACTACCAACAAGACTGTAACCACAGTTGGCAGCGCTCCAGAGCCACTTTATAATCATTGTTCGCAGAAGATGATTTCAGAAGTGTTACGACTTCCTTCCATCTCCTCCCCCCCCTTCCCGGCTCGATGGTTTTTGAGAAAAACAGAAAAGAAATTTGAAAGTAGGACAAAGTCGCGAAAACGTAAGGAGATGGTAGGTTGGACTGGGAAAGGGAGGGAAGTCGCAAGAGGAGGGAATTCTGAGGAAAATCGCTCTGACCCACCATTTCGCGCATCATGCACCCCGACACGAAAGTTCCCATGTGTGGTTTCTTCGAGCAAATTCCACACATTACCTAATGAAATCCACCAGAAAATATGTTCAAGAAAGCGGATGAACTCACCTGCTCAACTCTCGTGTCACCACCGTTCCACTCTTCTCCCATTGCCTAACACTTCAATTTTAATGTTAAATGTCTCTGTCGTTTTCAGAAGTCTTCGCAACCCATCGGTGTCTTCTGTGGCCACAGTGACAACCACGACATTTGGTAGACCACACCAGACGATGCTGGGCAGCACTAAAGCCGCCAGCAGCACCAGCATATGAACCTGTAAAAATCTTATTGAACACTGTAAAAGGGTTGCGATTACAAGAGATAATTAATGGCGTATTCCACAGCAGCCGTGTGGGCGGACGTGGGGGAAGCCAAGGAAACCAGTGTCAGCGAGGATGGCGCCTTGGCTGCGCCTATACGACCACTGCAGAATGGATGGAAATGCACTGCAAAAGCTGGTGAACCACAAAGCCAAAGCACAAGGGAAGATGGTTATATAATATCCACGAGGTTTTGGTCTGAAAGAGCAAAAGAGCAGCACAAAGCCTCGTGCAATAAGATAGGGTACAGCGTTTGATTGCAGAGCCTGTAATAAGGATCTCCATCCGTATTGATCCTACGACTTCAGGTAAGAGGTTAGTCCGCTGATACGTATAGTCTTGTTCGCTGCAGTTCGTTCAGAGTAGGCTCGGTTAGGCGCATCGCAAACTAGTTTCCCACGCATTGTGGCCGCTTATTAACTCCCATATTTGCTGGTGAATGGATTGGTGCCGGGTGGGAACAACCTTCGACTCCCCTTCCTCACCTGAGACCGGCTCGCGCTGCGAAAGATCATTTTCATGGGGTATTTTCGGAGTGTGTTGGTGACAAGCCAGTTTTTCATACCGTTATTGTAGCCGCTTATTAGCTTCCATAATTACTGGGGAATGGATTAGTGCTGGGTGGAACCCACCCCCATCCCAGTTTTCCACCTATTGTGGCCGCTTATTAGTTTCCGTATATGGACTGGATTACGTGCTGTGACGAACCTTACCTCGACCCTTTCCCTTTCCCTTCCCTTTCAACCACTGACAGCGACCCCACCCGTGCGGCATAGGGATATCATTATTGCACCGTTTTCCTGCAAAGCTGTTGAATAGTGCTCTGAAGTCAGTCGAGAATGTGGCTGCGGTTAGCTATGAGTTCTGACGCGGCTATAGCCCGCTTCCCATCAATCGCTGCGGATTCGGACTTTCAGTACGCTGGGAAAGGTGCCTGCCTCGTACCAAAACCTACGCAGCACTGACATGCCCGACTGGCTTACAATCTCATTCGCTGCGGATAATGGGAGTGTCAGAAGGGCTGGGTTTGGCGCGGGCGTCCAGCCGGTTTTAAGCTTCCGGTGATAAAGAGATGATGAACTGTTATTTATGTGTTCGTTACCCGGCACTTTAAACAGTTGTCTCGTTGCTTGGTCTTCTCGGACAAGTGGTGGAGACTAACGGGGGGCGGCACGCTCAGGACCTAAGGCCGCACGATAGATCTCTTGTTACTTCGACAACATACTGGGATATTTCACCGTTTGATGGAGATTTTTTAGCTTCGAAGTTAGCGTCTCACGATAAACTTTTTTAGGATCCTAAGGACCCTTGCGTGTAAAATCCAGTTCAAAGATAAGTTTGCGCATAGTGACCGCACACCCGTACCTCTTCTTCTATCTAACGGCCTTCCACCAATGAGGCACTCGAATGTCATCCCATGGTTAACACATGATCAGGGCACGTCGTGCCGTCGGGGAAAAATTTTGCAAGGTGCGACCCCCCCTGCCTCACATCCTTATTGAAGGCGAGGGCACTGACAATCTCACGAAGCCGTGTTTAGGAATTACTAGGTTCCTGAGCAGGGACGAATTCGGCACCCCTAAGCAGCGGGTTCTATGGCGCGTGTCCCAGTGGAAGATACACTTTACCGCTTGCCTTCAATCTGCAGCACACGACCCCGGACGGCTCACCGTGCGGGCAATCGTTGGTGGGAGAATCCAAACAGTGGGGGGGGTGTAGAGCGTATTGGCGCGTCAGGAGGGTCATGAAATTGGGTTTGTGGAAAATTTAATTTTGTATATTGATTTTTCTCGCTTCACGGGCGTTGTAGGAGAGGGGGGGGGTTGTACTTGCTAATCCTTGAGAAGGGGGAGGTCGTAGTGACTTTCTGGCCTTTCTGGGAGTGGTGGGAGTGGTGGTTGATTTTTCGTGGTTTCCTGTTTCATGCGTACTATACACCCCCTCCCCCGCTCGAGAGCAAAATTTTTGGGAAAAAGTAGGGAAGTTTTCGGGAAATTTTGGAAAAAGTGGCAGGAAGTTGGGGAAAATCTGAGAATTGGTAGAAGATGGAGGGGTCGTCCTGTCTCGCGGCTTTTCGAGGGGCAGAGGTCCAGAGGGGGGGGGGTCGTACCAACCCATAAAAAAAGGAGGGAGGGGTCGTACGGACTCGACTAAAATCCCCAACCAATGATGTGCCCTGTCACCGCGCCCGTCTGCCCTCAGAAGTCCGAGCGATGCTGATGTCTTATCGCTCCCTTGCGAAGTACAATACGAAGTCCGAGCGGCTGCGATGGTGCACTGTATCTATCGTAGTGGTTATTGGTACGATGCCAACAGGAAACTCGTCCAAAAGTGCTTTCTGATCGTGTAGAACAAAGGTTTTTTGCAGGTTTTTGACCGTTTCACTTCGCTTTTTCGCCATTTCCCCACTATATAGCACCCCTGCTACCATTTTAGACCGAGTACCAAATTATCGTGCCTTATGCCTTTGAGCTTCCTAAACGCTCCCAAGTTTCCTGCCACTTTTCCCCAGTTTTTCTCCAAACAAAAGCAAAAGCTTTTCTCCAAAAGAAGGGAGGGCGGCGTTGGTAGGCGGAGTATGGCGTACTTTAAATGAGGGAAATCAAGAAAACATTAACAACCGAAAAGCTTTTCTCATGGTCAGAGGCAAATACGCCCGTCCTCCACCCAGAGACCAAATATGACTCCCTCCCCACCCCCGTTGGAATCTCCAACGTATAACGTGCCCTGCACATGATACGGTGTTCGTATTTGTAAAGATGTACACTCGTCATCCGGGCAGTTGATTAGGGCGGTCGTCAACGGGCCGCAGACGCGGCTGCAGCAGCGACCGCGTGCGTAGGAACTATTTGCTTTTTCCGGCCTAATTTAGTCATTTTTCCCTACTTTTCACTGTTTTTGGCTTTTTTCCAAGGTTCCTTGTCTTCACAAGATAAATTATGATTGAGTTTTTTCTAACTTTTGCGAACAATTAGACGATTAAACAAACAATTAAACAAACACCTAAGAAAATCGCGAAAAACACCCCATTACAAGAACAAAAAAAGAATTCACGTCTCGATATACTTCATATAGGCAATAAAGCAAATGACCTCGAAAAAAACAGCCAAAAACAGTGAAAACTAGGGAGAAAATTGCTAAATTAGGGTGGAAACAGCTGATCGCAGCGATCGTGACGCGCTGCAGCCGCGTCGCATCCTTGGGCCGGATAATCAACTGCCCGGATGACGACTTTACACCTTGACTAAGGCAAGCATTCTGTAATAAAACCAGATATTCCGAGGAACAAAGCAAAAAAAAAGAGATAAAGCTTTCGACTTTGATAAATCTCTTTCCAGGATACGCCACACATAATACTTTCCATTCGAGACTCATAAATATTGGACGCGCTTCCATCTATGCGATGATTGTGTGGGCTGTCGTGCAGAAAAAGCCTTTCTTACATTTCTGGTACCAACTAGAAGATCTGTAATCCCGCATGGATTTTGCTGGGATGGGTGACAACATATCTGAGACGATATTTACCGATGGAAATTTCTTCGAAACGTCCGGGTTCTCAAAATTTTTAGGAGCATAGTTTCGACAATATAGGACGCAGGGAGAAAGAAAATTAGTGCTGAAGAGTAGAGGACCATTCCTTCTTAAACACTACAAAGTCATATGAAAGTACTCTATTCAAAAGTCTGCTGTTTGGGATTTTTTCCCCAGCAACGAGAAAAGTATCGTATGCTTGTAAGTTGTGGCCCTTTTGAAGGCTTAAAGGCAGTTGGCACTATGATTTGGTGCTCGGCCTAAAATGCTAGTAGGGCGCTGTATAGTGGGGAAATGGCGAAAGAACGGAGTGAAACGGTCAAAATCCTGCGAAGAAAAAGCCTCCGTTCTCAGTGACTTGAAAATCGATTTCGGACGAGTTTCCCGTAGGCATCTTGCCAATCACCGCTACCGAAGATACGGCTGCATATGTGTACCCATATATGCATGCCGCTTCATACCAATCCCTTCGCTTCATAATTTGCTTAGCAAATGAATGAATACGAGCGTCAGGAACGGTCGTCCATTTGTGGGCGGGCGTTGGGACGTAAAGTTGTGGCTTGATAGGGCCCTTATAAGGGCACCTTCCTCGGGGAAACCGCTATGCAGCGCCTGCCCAGGGTCGCGGAATTCTACCTGCCAGGAGTATTGATCCTAGTCGTCTTGGGGGATTTATCGTGCCAAGCCTTTAACTTTGTTTACAACTGTTCGGAAAGAGGTAAAAACTATTGGGGATCATGAGATTAGCGCTTCTCTAGTTCACTGAATTTCTGTTAGTTTCAATTTCATCTGGAAAGTGTATAGTATAACAAATGTTTTCACCGGCTGGAGTCATCCACACCACTGTTTCATTAGCTCCGTTTCCAACTTCTTTCCCGCACTTACCCTGTCTTTTTGACCGCTAACTCCTCCAAATGCGACCTGTACGCTTTTATCAATAAACCGAATGGGGCCCCTTCCAGTATACTCTGAGAACCGTCGGTAGTAGCACTCGCCTTTTTTAGCCGTTTCTCGCTCTTTACAGACATGGAAGTTGGGGAAGATCTAGTGAAATTTTGTCCCTGGCAAGCCTCAGTAATCCACTTTGCCGAGAAAAGGGGTACATGGACAGTCTCAGCGTTAGGTTCAAGCACTCCTACTCCTTACTCGGACATGCACGTCCGCCATCAGGTATAGAAGTTGAAAAAGAGCGCAGTGTGGTCCGCGACGAACAACCTTGTACCGGTTTCGCGGCAAAAAATTGTAATGGGAGGGGCGCTA